GATAGGATGAATGCATATAGTCTTTTTCCCAGGAATGGGGAATTGAAAACTAGAGGGCGTAGGTTTAAGGTGAGAGGAGAAAGATTTAAGAAGGACCTGAGAGCCAACTTCTTCACACAGAGAGTGGTGCGTGTATAGACGGGCTGCCAGAGAAAGTGGTTGAGGCAGATACAATAACAACATTTAAAAAAACATTGGGATTGGTACTTGATAGGAAGTGTTTAGAGGGAAATGGACAAAATGCGGGCAATTGGAACGAGCTGAGTGGGCACCATGGTCAGCATGGACCAGTGTGGGCTGAAGAGCCTGTTTCCATGCTGTATTACTCTATGACTCTATGACTCTGTGATTCTCTGACTCCTGGGGAATCATTGGTTCTTAAACTCTTGTGTTTATTAAAGTATTAAATATTTGCTGACAAAAGCTTTACGTTTTTCATTCTTATCAACTGTGTGCTTGCCCTTTATTCCTGGTGTGCAAAAGGAATGTAAGAAAGACAGTATTACAATAATCATGGGGAACCTCAATATGCAGGTGGACTGGGCAGGTAGTGGATCCCAAGAAAAGAAATTCATGGAACGTCTATGAAATGGTTTTCTGGAGCAGCTGGTGGTAGAGCCCACAAGGGAACTGGATAATTCTGGATGTAGTGATGTGTGATGAGGCAGACTTAGAAACATAGGAGCATGAAAATATAGAAACATAGACTTGATGAGGGAGCTTAAGGTGAAAGAACCCCTAGGGGGCAGTGACCATAATATGATAGAATTCACCCCACAGTTTGAGAGGGAGAAGCTGGAATTGGATGTAACGGTCTTGCAATTGAGTAAAGGTAACTACAGAGCCATGAGGGAGGAGCTGACCAGAGTCAATGATCAGTTCTTCTGTTGTGCCAACATTGAAAAAGAGTTTGTTATCATTGCACCATGACATAAAGCCCTCTATCTCCTTTCTGTATTCTGACTCATCGTTGCTTGTTATCTATCCTACCACAGTGGGATAGTGAACTTGTAGATGGCATTCATTTGGGATTTGGTAACACAGCCATGGGCATACAGGCAGTACAGTAGGGGGCTGAGAATGATCCTTGCGGGGTGGTGCTGGTGGGGAGGTTCTCCAGTGTTGAGTGTTATAGTGGAGGAGGTGCAGTTACCTATCCTCACTGATTGCAGTCTGTGGGTCAGAAAGCTAAGGATCCAGTTACAGAGGGAGAGGTTGAAAATATCAGTCTATACCTCTGCCTGCTGTTCCACACAGGATCTAAGTGTACAGGTGGGGATACTGTCTGGGCCCACCGCTGTCCTTCAGCTGACACCCAGGAAGGCTAGTTTGACGTCTGCAGCAGTGAGAGTCATCACAGGGATGTCCGGGACTGTCAGGGTAGGTGTCACCGTGCCACTGGCGTTCTGCTCAAACCAAGCATAGAAAGCATTGAGCGCATCAGGGAGAGATGTGTCATTGTCCGCTATCTTGCTCTGCTTCGTTTTGTATCCCATTATGTTGTTTAGGCCTTGCCACAGGTGGCAGGTGTCTGTATGGTTGGTTTGGTCCTCTAATTTAGTCTGGTACTGCCTGTTGTCATCTCTGATGGCTTTGTGGAGGTCATATCTGGATGTTCTGTATAGGTCTGGGTCTTCCAACTTGAATGCTGCACGCATGGTCTTCAGTAGGGAGTGGATTTCCTGATTCATCCAAGGTTTGTAGCTGGGAAACACGTGGATTGACCTCTTTGACACATGGTCCTCCATCCACTTGCTAATGAAATCCATGACGATGGTGGTGTACCTGTCTAGGTGTTCCACTGAGCACTTGAACATGGTCCAGTCCACCAATTCCAAGCAGTCCCTGAGATGGTCTTCTGCTGACTCGGACCAGCACTGTACTACTTTCTGTGAAAGATTCTCCCGCTTCGGCTTCTGTTTGTAAGCTGGGAGGAGGAACACAGCGCTGTTATCTGATTTTCCAAAGTGTGGACAGAGGACAGAGCGGTAGGCATCTTTAACGGTTGTGTAGCAGTGGTCCAGGATGTTCGGTTCCCCTGGTGGGGCAGGAGATGTGTTGGTGGTATTTTGGCAGCTCCCTCTTGAGGTTGGCCTGGTTGAAGTCACCAGCCACAATTAATAAGGCCTTAGGGAATTTCACCTCCACTGTTTTTATCGAGGTGTAAATTTCATTCAGGGTATTGGCGTTGGAGGCAGACTAGAGAAGGATCACTTGGCTGATCCCCAGTATGGAGAAACTGTCTTATGACAATGGTTAGCAACATAGGAATTAGGAGCAGGAGTGGTCAATTCAGCCTTTTGAGCCCACTCACCATTTAACATGATCATAGCTCATCTTATGCTGGCCTCAATTCCACTCTCCTGCCTACTCCCAACAGCCCTTTATTCCGCTTTTCATCAGAAACATATCAATTTCTTTCTTGAATCTGTTGATTGATTCTGCGTCCACTGTACTCTGGGGCAGCGAGTTCCACAGATTCACAATCCTCAGACAGAAGTAGTTTCTCCTCATCTCAGTTTTGAACCTATCTCCTCTCAGTCTATATCTACGCCGTCTTGTTCAAGACTGTCCCACATGGGGGAACATCTGTTCAATGTCCACCTTATCAATCCCCTTAGAATTTTATGCACCTCAATCAGATTCCCCTTATTGTTCTGAACTATAGTGAGTACAAGCCCAAACTATTCAACAGTTCCTTGTACGACAGCCCTTTCATCCCTGGTGAACCTCCTCTGAACTTCCTCCAGTGACACCATATCCTTCCTCAAGTAAGGAGACCAAAACTGAACACAATATTTCAGATGCAGTCTCACCAATGCCTTCTTTAATTATATAACACTTCTTTGACTAGATTGGGCTGGTACTCATTGGCATTTGAAAGAATGAGAGGAAAACTTCTTGAAACATAACTCTTTGGGGTTTGTCACTGTGGAGAGGTTATTTCCCCTTGTAGGAGAGTCTGGGATCAGACAGCATCATCTCAAGCAAAGTAGTTGCTCTGTAGGACAGGGACGAGAATGAATTACTTTACTCAGAAGGTAGTAAGTCTGTGAAATGTGTTACTGCAAAGGTTTGTCAAGGCTGGATCATCAAGTATTTTGATCTTACTGAATGTTGGAGCAGACTCAATGGGCTGAATGGCCTACTTCTGCTTCTACATCTCAGGGGCCCCACATACGATATGAAAAATGTAAGAGGACACTCATATCTGTTTCTGATGGATGCTGATGCTAGTTCACGAGCAGCTACAAACTGGAGATCATTGCAAGGTTTCAAACAGAGGCCAGAGCTTTCGCCCATAACTCTCAAGACCATGGAAGTAGTGTCTCACTCAGCATCTTCGAAGATTTAAATTTGATTCTGAACATCATAAAAAGGTATTCTTACTTTAAGAGCTTACTATTCAAGTATGGGCTCTTTAATGAAAAAGTATTGACATGGGTAAATTAGGCAAACATGTCTATGATAATCGTAGAGTTAAACAGGACAGGAGAGGACTCTCAGCGTAGCGAGTCTGCGCTGACCTATCGACATTAGCCCCACTTTCCCACACTAGGCCTATAGCCTTGAATATTCAAGTGCTCACCCAAGTACTTTTCAAAGAGTGTGAGGTTTCCTGCCTCAACTCCCCTCCCAGGCTATTCATTCCAACCCCAACCACCCTCTGTGTGAAAAAGCTCAAAGGTTCACAGGAAATAGTATAGAACTCAACTTTAGGTCGGCTCACAGTGTTTTACCCATCACCAACTTTCATACAACAGCTGTCTAGTATCAAACTAACTGAAAAGTCCAATTTAACTTTGCGTGCACTGTACTGATACCTGGAAGTGGACACCAAGGACAGTGTGTACTTTTGGTAGATAGTCTTTGGTTTGAAGATAACTGGTATTATGGTATCTTACTTGTACATTAAGAATATTTCTGCTTACAACTCTGAAGACCAAGACGGAAGTGAAATGCAGATCAATTAATCCCTCCATATTGGAGAAAGTGTTTGTATAATCGCATCACACTGTCACAAAGAGGAAACAGCAGAACAAAGTTTTAAATATTGAATCTCAAGACTGTGCTGACGAATTCACAACTGAAATCGATAAGCATGTTAATGGTCTGCTAAAGTAGGTCTAATACAGGGAACTGAAGAATAGCCATCATGTCCCTGATGGTTTTTGGAGTGCTGATCATTTTTGCAATTGTATTGGACATGTACTCACTGAGATCCATAAGCTGCCTCTATTCCTTTAAGTACATTTTAACGGAGAATGGCTACTGGTAAGAAAAGGCTGTGGTAATCTCATCTGTATAATGACATATTCAATAAACACAAATTGCATTTGACTGGAAGTTATGATTTGCACTGAGTACTCTCTGCCAAGATCCACTGGGATCTCCCTATTTGTATAAAATGTGATCTCAGTCCCTAGTGGGGGACACAGTATTCAGTGTGAAACAGTTGTAGTTTAAAAGCTGAATGCTGTGAATCAGTATGTATACTACTATACTGCCCACCTTCAGTCAGGGCTGTACTGCTTCCTGTTACAGCCGTTTCTCTGCAGGGTTTATTCATTTATATGCAGAAGTACAAATAATCCAATCACATTCAGACCCATTTTAAACAGGGGTTGAATATTTTCGTTGTGTTAATTCCTATTGTGTTATGTAGATACTGAAACGTGTTCACATTATCCAAACAGAAGTAAAATCTTACTTAGATCCGCTTCTCCTCCCCCAGAGAAAGAAGTTTACATGCCTGTAGTCTGGCCACAATCTTTAAAATAAGTGCTGGTGAAGTTAGATCCCATCCTACAAATAGCTGGAGACAATGTGATGATTTTGACTTGTTCCTCATTGACACAGTCATTCAAGGGTGTAGCACTGAAGGTCATCATGACTCACACATCCTTCTGGCAAAGTTACTTAAGCTCCTGACCTCTAACGTGGGCAGTGGCTCAGCCTTTGAGGACTCTGATAACTTAATGATTTTACTTTCTTTACAGAACCAGGGGAGGACCTAAAGGGGCGAAGTTTTAGCTCTGAACTGGTGTCAAAGTCAGAAAGCAAAGAGAAAGGGGCTCATGGTGTTTCTGGAGAACCGATCAAATCTCAGGAATGGGATGGGAGCCCTAGGCCACCGGCGCCAGTGACGAGTCGAATGGGGAGGTCCTCAGTCAGCCCGACACAGTTAGCAGGACACAGCAACTCTGAGACCACACAGTCAGGTAAGGGACTGTCAAACCACCATCAACACTGACACACAGTGACTTCACTGACCCTGTCAATTCCTTCAGAGATAGTAGGAACTGCAGATGCTGGAGAATCTGAGACAACAAGGTGCAGAGCTGGATGAACACAGCAGGCCAAGCAGCATCATAGGAGCAGAAAGGCTGACGTTTCGGGCCTAGACCCTTCATCAGAAATGGGGGAGGGGAAGGGGGTTCTGAAATAAATAGGGAGAGAAGGGGAGGCGGATAGAAGATGGATAGAGGAGAGGATAGGTGGAGAGGCACTGCCTCCCACTCTCTCCCTATTTATTTCAGAACCCCCTTCCCCTCCCCCATTTCTGATGAAGGGTCTAGGCCCGAAACGTCAGCCTTTCTGCTCCTATGATGCTGCTTGGCCTGCTGTGTTCATCCAGCCCTGCACTTGTTCTTTCAATTCCTTTACAGTTTCCATGTGCCAATCCTTTTAAAGCATAAATCTACAAAGTTTGCTGCTATAAAACGTGATCCTCAGTCCAAATTGATTCTCAGTAAAATACCCTAGAAAGTAATGTTCAAGGATGATCTCATATTATTGATGAGTTTATTCCAGGTATTTTCTTGGGTTCAACATCTGAGATCGATGTTATCAACAAATACTTGCCCTTCATTGTCAGACTAGTATTGAAATAACAGATACTGCATCCAACAGAAAACCCTCGCTTTTAGCCCCTTGGCTAGATAGAGTTCAGAAGGTGGTCCATTAACAAAACACTGCTAGGGCTGTAAAATGGCAAGTTTATTAATAAACAGAAGATGGATTTACATTAGTTACAACAAGTTGCTTGAAAATTACATTTCACGTCAGGGCTTCATCACCGAATCACAGGATTGTTACAGTGCAGAAAGAGGCCACTTGGCCCATTGTGCTTGCACAAGCTCCTGAGGTGGCACAGTGGCTCAGTGATTAGCACTGCTGCCTCACAGCACCAGGGACCTGGGTTTGATTATATCCTCGGGCAACGGTCTGTGTGGAGTTTGTACATTCTCCCTGTGTCTGCTTGGGTTTCCTCTGGGTTTCCTCCCACAGTCCAAAGATGGGCAGGTTAGGGTGGATTGGCCATGCTAATTTACTCCATAGAGTCCAGGGACAAGCAGGCTAGGTGGGTTAGCCAAGGGACAATGGAGGGTTACAGAGATAGAGTAGGGGTGTGGGTTTGGGTGGGATGCTCTTCAGATGGTCAGTGTACACCTGATGGGCCAAATGGCCTCTTTCCACACTGTCAGGATTCTATGAAATGCATGTCATTACCTACTGCCTTTTCCCCATACCTTTGCTCACTATTTCAATCCAAATAATTATCAAACTCCCTCTTGAATGTTTCTATTTAACCTGCCTCCACCACATTTCCAGGCAGTGTATTCCAGAACCTAACTACTTGCTGGGTGAAAAAGTATTTTTCTGGCATCACCTTTGGGTGTCTCTAGCTTTCTGTGACTTTGATAGAAGGTTCTGAAGAAGTATGAGAATATGAGGTAATCTGGTTCCTTTATTCATTCACAGGATGAGGGTGCGGAGATTAGGCAGCATTTATTGCCCATCCCTCATTGCGCAGAGGGCAGTTAAGAGTAAACCACATTGCTGTGGGTCTGGAGTCACATGTACACCAGACCAGACAAGGATGCAGCTTCCTTCCCTAAACAGCATTAGTGAACCAGATGGGTTTTCCTGACAATTGATTCACAAACATCATTAGATTGTTTATTCCAAATATTTTATTGAATTCAAATTCCACCACATGTCGTGGCAGGATTCGAACCCGGGTCCCCTGATCATTACCTGGGTCTGGGGATTAACAGTCCAGCAATAATACCACTAAGCTATTGTATCTGCCTTGAATAAGCCACCTACCTCTCCCGATCACCTTTACTGTGAAAATTATCTTTACTACCTGTCTTTTTCACTGGTTTACTGATCTAACCATGTAGAATATTAGAAATGTAATTACAGTGTTGTCCTGTCCCTTTCCGGCTCTCTGTTGCCTGGTCATCCTGGCCCTTCCCCACAATAGCCCCAGCACCTGTATCTCCCCTAATGCCTCTGAAAGGTGCTTTTGTTCATTGCTCTGAGCAGAATTTTTTATGATATCAAACTGGTGAACTGCAGAGCATGATAGAGTCAGCAACCAAGCTTTCTGAGCCTGACTTTCTGTTTGATTGGCTTTTCTGTGGAAGTAAAAAAGGATCATTTTCAAATCAATGGAAAATTAGGTCTCAATCTGCACCAACCATTTTCCCACACTGTATGCAGAAGTTACATACCAATGAGACATTTTAACAAAGACCAGAATCAGAAGGATTTCCCTTCGGAACTCTTTTCATATATTTTGCAAGAATTCTCTTTTTGGGAAATGTATAGCCAAGTGAGAGTTGTCAGTCCCGGGAAAAAGAGCACTTTTAGCCTTAATATCAGGATCAATAATTGAAGGTGAGAAGTTACTATGGATGTGAGCCAGGTTAAAGGGATGCTCTCTTCGAGATAGAAATAGTTTTATTGCAAGCACTTCATTTAACCTTGCATTACATATAGTTTCAAAATTTATAACATTTGGGAGTGGAAATTATTCAGTCTTATTTTTTAAATCTTGGATAATGATCTTGATTTAACTTGCAATTTTAATTAAGTCATTAACTCATTACTTTCTCTTAATAGGTAGATATAAAGTTAGGAATATCTTTTGGTGATACTAACAAATGAATGCTTAATACATTGGGAATGGTATTCCTTTGACTGCTATGTTAGTGGAATGTTTTGAAGCAGGTTAATACACCATTAACATAAAAGAAAGAATAAGCTTATAAAAACATACGAAGCATTCACAGCTCATCAATGGGAGGTTATAGAAAGTGTGTTGGCCAAGAATTTAAAAAGTTACTTGAGACTTATTTATCCAAAGCCACAATATGGATTTAAATGTGGCGTTACATCCTGCTATGGTTTTAGTTCCCATGGATGTGAACATTCTCCTCTTGTCTAACTCAGCTTTCCTTTCACAGAGGCCAAGGCGAGCTGCAAGCTGGGTCGATCTGCTTCGACTTCAGGTGTACCTCCTCCATCCACCGCTCCTCTCAGGCAGTCCAGCGAGACACAACAGAGCCAGGTACCATCGCTAGCCAATCCAGAGTGAACTCACAGTTCAACATGCCAAAAAAAAACAAAGTTGTCACATGTCTGTCCTCCATTTTGTTACCAGCTTGTTGCCGTCTCTCTCTGTGTCAGTCATTGGCAGTAGCAGGTTTCCAAAAGGCAGGATGATCTCTGTCTGTGGCTCATCTTTCAATCTGTCTTTTCTAAAAGGAGACAAAAACTTTTCATCCAGTATTATCTGACTGTGAATGAGATATACTCTACATACATAGATATAGAGACTTTTCTGATTTCATTGTTTTGTGTGTTTTAACAGATTTGTGTGTCTTTGAAATGAACAAATCTGATAAAAGAAAGTCTCTGATCTGTCTTTGCTGGTGTACATTTATTTCTTCGCTCTGTCATCATAAAGACTTGCAGTGTCGTGGTGTTTTGTTGCTAACTTGTACATCTTTTCGTGTAGTCAATCTTCTTTATTGTTGTTTCTTAGTCGTTTTGATGTTTGTCTGTTCCTTTGTGATCATATCACATTTTGTGTACATTATCTTTATTAAAAGTACCAAGAACATTTCACAAAAGGCGTTGGGAGCATTGAAAATGTTTGCAATTAATTCATTATGATGGGCTGTCAAAAATGGAAAACAAGGCTCTTTTCAGGAAGAGGCTTGGAGGCTGTTAAGAATGGGAAGACTTCTGAGGGAACAGTAACAATGAGCAATATCCCCATGATTATCCTGTAACTATAATTACAGTGGTTTTCACGTAAGAAAGAAAACAGAATTTCAGAGCTGGCCTCCTCTCCCCTTAAACATTGGTAGAAGTCTCAGGAAATCTGATTATTCCATTCAATCAAATTGAATTTGTCTAATTCCCAAACATGTTTCCCGATGTTAACTGTATACAATTGTGAGATGTGATGGCACAAACATCAGGAACATCCTGGAATCTCAAGTGATACATTGTACTCATTCAGTCCCACTTGACATCTTAACTGTGTATTTTACATACTGTGCAATGTTCCACCGGGTTGTTGAGGTTATTTTGACATTTAAATCTATTTATATTGAGAGTCTTCTGCTTCCTGGTGTCCTCACTGGAGTCCACTCATACACGTTGGTAATTATTGAAACGATATAACCCTTCGCTGAGCAGAGTCCAATCCTTGTTCGCCATTATTATAACCAGAATGTAACTTTAGCAAAGGTGCTAATGTTATGTAACTGAAAGGAATTTGGTGGAAAATGGTCATTTGAAATTTGAAACAAAATCTACTGATATGCTGGGATATGCCCTCATGGTTTAGTTGGCCTGAATTTGTTGAAATGAAAAAAAACACTGTGATTTCTTTTTGTGATAATATTTGTCAAAGTGTGAATGATCCCTGCCAGAGATTTCCAGGAATGGTAAGTAATCACATTTTATAACTTTACAACAATCAGCACAAAGAGTTAAACTCTTTCATATGTTAAAGAATATAACCCTTTAATAGGTGGTTCAACTCCAAAAGCAATGTGTAGACCAAGTGTACCTCTTTTGTTTGACAATTTGGGAATTTCCTTGAGGACTTGTGATTGTTTTTCAGCCTGTTCAAGTTTCCCTTCAGGGATATTTTTCCCATAATATTCATTTTGTACAATCGAATCAGTAAAATGAGAAAATCTACCCCAGTATCACTGCAGACTATTATATAACAACCTGCTAGAATATAAACAGAAAGCCAAGCTCCAAAACAAGAGTCCTGCTGGACTCAAAATATTAGCTCTGTTTCTCTCTCTGCAGATATTGCCAGACCTGCTGAGTTTCGCAAGCACTTTCTGCTTTTATTTCAGATTTCCAGCATGCCCAGTACTTTTATTTCGCAGCCTCCTGGATCATTTAGGAGTGAGTCCGGGAAAGATGCAATAAGTCAAGCAACTATTCATTTACCAAGGAGTCAACAGACCATCTGTCCAATAGAACAGTGTTTGGGTTATTTTTGCCACAGTGCCCTCATTAACTCTAAAATCGAACACATTTGCAAAATCCAGTTCATTAATAACTGATTATTTAAGCATTTGTCCTCCATTATTTCCAGTGATCAAGATATTTTCTTTAAAATTGATTATGTAGAAATTGATATCACAGAAACAAGCTGTTCTGGCCAAATGGTCAATGCTGAAGTTTATAAACCACATAAACTTCAGCAATATCACTCCCTCTTCCAATGTCCCTCCTGCATGCAGCAACTGTTCTGAAAATGTAACAGTTTCAGTTAATCCATGAGGCAGTGACATTTTCTCACCACTATCACGCTAATTTCACATTTTTGAAATTAGCCTCAGATTAGCTGATTGATGATGTTAACACAGAAACCATTTCCGTCATACCCCAGTATTGTCAGGAGGTTCGTGGCTATTTCGGGCAAAAGACAATTTTTCAAAATGCGAACAGAACTTCTGAGACACAGCTGGAACAACAATTGCGGTATTCGCTCTGGGTATAGTACTATCTGATCAGTGCCATTGGTGAAGCTGCCAAAGGCATAACTGGCTCGGAGATGGATGGTAACATATTGGTACGTTGATATCCCATTGGTATGTAGATATCCCATTGGTACGTCGATATCCCATTGGCACGTCAATATCCCATTGGCACATAGATATCCCATTGTCATGTAGATATCCCATTGGCACGTTGATATCCCATTGACATGTAGATATCCCATTGGCACGTTGATATCCCATTGGCAGGTTGATATCCCATGCCTGGTTATAAATACTGCTTTAACTCAATAACTCAAAATGACTTCCTGAACTTCTTTAAAAAAAGTTAACAGTTAAATCCATTTTTTTCTCTACCTTAGAGCCCAGGTCCTCATACAATAACAATGTGTTATGAACCTTCATAAATCTGATCTTTACATGAACCCAGATCTACACAGTGTTCCTGATCAACAAGCAAGCTGAGGGTTACAGAGTCAGAAAGTGGACATGAGGCCACAATCAGATCAGCCGTGATCGTAAAGTCTGACAGAATAAGTCTGTGGGATCCAGCAAGCCCATACTTGCTCCTAACTTTTGTTTCGGTATCTGCCCTCTGAAATAGCCAACAACTAATAATTTGCAGGTGGCTCACCACCACCTGTTGAGGCAATGGCCTAGTGGTATTATCGCTGGACCGTTAATCCAGAGACCCAGACAATGTTCTCGGGACCTGGGTTTGAATCCTGCCATGGCAGATGGTGGAATTTCAATTCAATGAAATATCTGGAATTAAGGATCTAATGTGAATCCATTGTCGATTTGTCAAGGAAAAACCCATCTGGTTCACTAATGTCCTTTAGGGAAGGAATTGCCATTCTTACCTGGTCTGGCCTACATGTGACTCCAGACCCACAGCAATGTGGTTGACTCTTAACTGCCCTCTGGGCAATAAATGCTGGCCCAACCAGCAATGTCCTCATCCCCTGAATGAATTTTTAAAAAGTCAGGGATGGACAATAAGTGTGTGCGAAAAACTGTCGACCCATGAATTAATCTAAAAAATGATTTCCCTTTGGGCCCCATGAGAATAATCTGGGTCACTGCTCCACCAGAGTCCCCCCATCCCCGTCCACCTACTCCCTACAACAGAATTCTTTACAAACCACCAACGAGCAGGTCTAGGCCATTCAGCGCCCCCAGGCTGTTCCGATTGTAACCTCAAATTGACCTTCCTGGCTACCTCCAATAACCTATCAGCCTCTTGTTTATCGAGAATCTCTCCAGCCCTGCCTTAACAATGGTCAAAAACTCTGCATCCACCACCTTCTCAGGAAGTGTTCCAAAGACTCTTGACCCTCTGTGAGAAAAAAACTTTGCCTCGTCTCTGTTTAAAATGGGCAAACCCTGGTTTTTAAATAGTAACTCCTGGTTCCAAACTCACCCACAAGGGAGAAATATCAGCATCCAGTAGAGTCCAAGACAGGGATTGCTAAGCTACATTCAACCACTTCTCTCATTGTGCATTGCATTCTCTGCTTCCCAAGACTTTAGGGAGATTTGTGTTCTTCCGCTGTCCTGGTGACAATTCATCGAAGATCTTTTCGCTGAACAGTGATCTTATGGTTTGTCAGTGGCTTCAATATGAAACACTGTCCCAGTGAATTAACACAGGAAGATCATTGTTTAAGCCCACTATTCAGACAAGTCAGAATGTTGGGAGTTCAAGTCTTATTTCAGAATAAAGCTCATAATTTAGGCTGAAAGGTTATTGGAGTGCTTATGTGGTAATAGTGACTATGCCTTTCTAATGAGCAGGTACAAGGATAGCTATTCAGCTCAATCTAAAATATTCTTTAGGACTGTTCATAGAACCAGGAATTCCCCTGATGATCTGGGAAACATTCCTCCTCCAAAACTAGCAGCAACAGAAATAGACTGACTGGTTCTGTTTAAAGGACATTGCTGTTTGTAGATTTTGCCCATCAGTGCTTGCAAATCTTTCTGAGATATCTTGAAGATGTGCTTTATACACTGTTTGTGTAGTCGAGTGTCAAGGTGTTTATTTTAATGTTTCAGCCAAACCTCCAAATGGGACTGAGGGGTAAAAAGCAAAAACATCACTCTATGTTTTTTTTTTATTCTTTCATAGGATGAAGGCATCACTGACTAGGCAGCATTTATTGCCCATCCCTAATTGCCATTAGGGCAGCTAAGAGTCAACCACATTGCTGTGGGTCTGGAGTCACATGTAGGCCAGAACAGGCAGTTAAAGATGGCAGTTTCCTTCCCTACAGGACATTAGTGAACCAGATGGGTTTTTCTGAAAATCGACAATGGATTCATGGTCATCATTAGATTCTTAATTCCCGATGTTTATTGAATTCAAATCCCACCATCTGCCAAACCCATAAACCACTTATTGACAGGACAACACTGACCTGGAGTGAGTAGGCAGCACTCAAAATCCTACAAGTATGCTGCCAAAAAAGTAACCATAGAAGTTCAGAACTTTACCTTGCATTTATTGTTTTCTCAATCATTGTTATAGATAGTAGTCAAAATA